TAGGACACCGGGAAACAAGTGCAGTTGTTTCTTCAAAGGTGCAAACTTAAGTAGAAATATAGTACATACGCTAACGTTTTGTTTCAAGTCTCCAAGCTTGAAGTCAATATTTGGTATGACCACCTTTATTCTTCAACATAGACTGAACTGTTAGACAACATTTCTTCTAATTTTGTTAAGTAGTCTTCATGAACAGTTCACCATAGTTCTTTGGATGTTGGCCGACTTTTTGTTCAATTCTCGGTGAAGATAATCCTGCACTGCTCAAAAATTGTTGATGATAAATAAATAAAATTTAATTCAGTTATTTATAGCCCTGTGTCAGACTGGCAACCTGTCTAGAGTGTACCCTGCCTCTCGCCCTATGGTAGCTGGGATAGACTCGAACAACTCCAGGTTCAGGGAGAGGACCCATCTGCCACGATCGGTTGGGAGCAAATCCAAACTAGGAGCTGGTTCCACAGAAGAGGGGTCTGAAAACTGGAGGCTCTGCCTCCCTTTCATGTTTTTCAACCTAGAAACCTCTTGCACTCCAAGAGGGAAGTGTTCTACTGGGGTGATAATATATGAGGAGAAGGATTATAAATTTGATTTGGGTTTAACACAGAATCAATGAAGAGAAGCCAATATAGGCGCTCTCTTTCTTGTCCCTGTCAGTGCTCTTGCTGCAGCACTTTGGTTCAACTGAAGACTTTTCTGGAAGTTTTAATATGCACACTGAAGTACATTTCCTGGTCAAAAATGACTCCATGAGTCCTCACATTGTTACTGGAGGCCAAAGTAATACCACCCAGAGCAAGTGTCTGGTTAGACATCACGTTTTTGGATTTTTAGGGCCGAGTACAATAACCTCATATTTGTCTGGTTTTAGAAGCAGGAAATTGGAAGCCATCCATGTCTTTATATCTTTAAGATATTAATGCAGTTTAACCCTGGAGAACCCTGGAGTTTCCCTAGAAAACCCATGGGGTCGGCTCTGACCCCATGGGTTCTCCAGGGTTAACTAATTACTGTGTGCCATCTGGTCTTATGGATAGATAAAGCATGTTGTGCTGTCTTCTTCTAATTCTAACATGTAAAATGTAAATAGAATTGGTTCTAGCACTTTTGCGACACGCTGCTAGTAACAAAGTTCCTAAAGATGCAATTAAAAAGTGGTTCTTTGCCAAGTTGTCTCTTATGTGTAGACACAACACTGGCTCTTAAGTGTGGAACTCCAAATTAAGTTTAATGTGAGATACTTCCCATTTATATGACCCCTTTGTTAAATCATGAATTAACTGCAATTAACTACATTTTTCGGAAAGTTGAGCTCAACTTCACCCATTCTGAAATACTGCCAGACTTGTTGAATCTAGAATGTCTTTAAATGGCTAACAAAGTGAAATAGGCTTGATGGTCTCAAAAGGGAAAACATCATACAAAAGGAAACATAAGAATAGAGGACAAATAAAATCATTGACATCTATCAATATGGAAAGGATTATAAAGCCATTCATAAGGCTTTTGGACTCCAGAGAACCAAAGTGAGACTTATTATCCACAAATGGAGAAAAGTGGTAAACCTTCACAAAAAACCTAGAACAACATCTAAAGAACTGCAGGCCTCACTCCTCTCAGTTAAGGTTAGAGTTCATGATTTAACAATAAGAATGAGACTGGGCAAGAATGGCATTCATGGGAGAGTTCCCAGAAGAAAACCACTGCTGACCAAAAAGCACACAAAGGCTTGTGTTTGCCAAAAACATCTTGATGATCCCCAAGACTTTTGGGAAAAGCCTCATCAAGATGGCAGCCCTCCCAAGGATATTACATATGACATCTATACGACAGTGCTTTTTTTGGTTCTGTCAAATCTTTTTTTTCCTTTGCAGATTCAACTAGATTCGAGGATTGAGAGCAAATGATGTGCTTTTGCGACACACTGCTAGTAACAAAGTTCCTAAAGATGCAATTAAAAAGTGGTTCTATGGTAAGTTGTTTCTCATGTAGACATAACACTGGCTCTTAAGTGCTTTACATTTTTGAATGATTGGGTGGCGTAACAACAAAAAAAACCATTTGAAAATGGTTTATGTACAAGAACTGGACTGAAAATTAATAATAATAATAATGATAATAAAAAGAAGCAGCTAACGCCCAGAGAAACACTCTGAATGACCTTTAGAAAGACTGGAAAACTTGGTTTACAATCCTCCGTGGTGGGTTACAGAAGCAAAATTGCAATTCTTTTTTTACCTTTCTATAAATGCGCCTGGACCTGACTGAACACACATCAAGATACTAGCCAATGCTTAATAACAGAGGGCGTTGTTAATCAGTTTTACATAGATTGAATACCCAACAGTCAAACGATGTCCTATGAACAGCACTTGGTAGAGGTGGGAAAGAAGAACTCTTTTTTTTTTTCTTCTTTTTTTAAAATCGAGAAGAGAACTCCAGCAGAACCAATCAGCAGGGGGCACCATCTGCCACTAGCAACTCAAGATGCAAAAAAGAGACAGAGTCCTTATGTGCATGTGCTAATGTGACTGAATGCAAATTAACAAAAAGGAGCTCATGTCTGAAAGGTGCTGAACAGTGAAATTCTGACAAGCTGTTCTTGGATAAATGTTTTTTGCTGATTATTATTAGTTTTATCTATAAATAAAACACCATCAAGAAAATTAATGTACTGTTTGTTTTATAGAGAAAAGCCCTGAAGGACTCCAGTTGTGAGTGTGAGTGCATAGCACCTAGAGGAAGGAATAGAGCTCATTTGCATGTGTCCTTTCTCATTAACATATTAACTACTCCCACTGGAAATGCTGTCTTTACATTAATGCTAATCTTTGCATGTTTGCAGGAGGAGGAGCTGCAGCTGGGTTCTGCTCTATGATTGGCTGCTCTGACAGTTCAGTTATTGATGAGATGGAATTATTGAGAGGTGTTTACTGTGACAAAAAGGTTCATCATGAGCTGCAGCTGCACTCATGACACAAATACAAACACAGATTGTGCATAAAAAATGGAAGTGGTTTCCAACTCCTTCAGTTGCATAAAAGCCAGCTCTCCTGATCTGTCACCTCAGTAAACACTATTCTGGTGACTCAATGGGCTTAATCCCTTTTGGAAATGATGGTCATTAGTAGGCTTAGAAAGGATGACAGATTCTTGACTTTACAGTCAAATCCATGCTTTGCTTGTCAATCATGAACAACTCCTCCAGGGGAAGCACCATGGGGGCTGCCACGATGAGCCGGCACCCTCCACAAGCAGCCGGCTATGCCAGAGCTCTGGGCCCAGAGACTCGAGACCTAAGGACATCCCACCCCCCAGCGGGGGCCAGACAGAGCCAGGGGCCCAAGCCCTGCAAGCAGGTGCCAGGAGCAAGCCAGTACACACCCGAGCTCCCAGGCTCGGACACTACACCAGACTACATAAGACAATAGACAGCTGACAATGTATCTCTAACATGCAACTTCTGTCGGTGCTGTGCTACTGGAAACTGAATTTCCCGGAGGAACCCACCCGAGGGATTATTAAAGTTTCATCTAATCTAATCTCTAATCTAGACACCCAGGTTGAGTCCATCCTGCACCTCTGGTAGATCCCCCCCCCCCTCTTCGCCTGCAGCGTGGTCTCCTCAAAAGTAGAGAGCACCTTCAAAAAGATGGCAAAAACACTCCCTGCCAGCTAAAGAGGCCCCCAGTTCCACCAATGCACCAAAGGGCCACGGCCAGGCCCCAGTGCATGCAGCAACCCAAAACCCCGTCAAAACACCAGCTAGGACCCAAGCCCCTTGGGCCTAGCCAGAACCAGAGCATGGAGGTGGTACACCCCCAGAACTCCAAGTCACCAAGCCCACCCCGCACTCACCCAGGAGCAGCACAGCTACCAGACCGGTCACCCACACCAGGTCTCTTTTGTGCCACGGACTGGTTTATGTCCGACAATATTTTCACGGACCGGCCTTTAAGATTTTGCGGATAAATACAACAAAATAAAACCAGTACCGGTACCCCCCAAAAAAGAAGATTTATTCATAACACACAGGAAAAGACCAGGAAGGCCCTCCACTACAGGGGAGCTGCCACCAAGGACTATTTAACTGTCTCATTAACCTTGCTGCTAGTGATGACCAGGTCATCTCTCTCATTCCCAGACTCTGCTTCCAATACAGAATACTATGTCCACAGTTGAAGTCAGCTACACCCCACCCCCACTAAACAGAATGTAAGTGGAGCATCGCCTTCCCTTTCTGAGCTGGGCTGACAGTTTGCTAGAATCACTTTGAAGCAGACTCAAAGTCTTTTTTGGTTGCTTTACCTGGCCGGGCCCCACAGGCTAAGGCCTGGCCACCAGGCACTCTCTGGCCAGGACTGGTTGAGCAGTTTAGACAAAAGGTTTGAGCAACAAGGCTAAGAAGGTTTGGACACGCACAGAGGAGCGATAGTGAAGAGAATACAGTTCATCTATTTTTTTAAACCCGCCTTTTCATTTTCATTATGTCTTCAAGTTGGGGAAAGGTGTTTTGATTGAAAACTGTGAAAACATTAGCTGACAACACTCCACCCCTGCATCCAAATATGGTCACTTGCCCCCCCCCCAAAAAAAAAACAAAACCCGAAAGCAGCCAAAAGCCAATGAGGACTCCCAACACTGAGTGCTTGAGTCTGGAGTCACAGTGACTCTATTCCTTCTATTATCAGCACTGACTCCTATGCAGTGAACAGAGTAGAAACCATCAGGCTACACACATAAACAGCAGCTTTTCTTCCTGCATTTTCAAACCAGTTTCATCTCTGGACTTTAGTCCCCCATGGAATCATTACATTATTGTTGTTGCTTGCCACTAGGTGGAAAAATATAAAGAAGTTTTAAAAAAATGCAGAAAAAGAAATTGGATGTGTTTGAGCCTGTGTTTGGACGTTTTGCTTCACAGACTCAGTTCAGGAAATAATTACCTGCAAACCACAGCAGCCCACTGCATTCATGACGGAGGCATTGTGAATGACTTTGTATGGTATCCCAGCATTCACTGCTCTCAGCACTAGGTCACTGTGTGTGGTGGCTCTGCAGAAAGACACAGAAAACAAGGGCAGCCTTTTCTTATAAAATACACAAAATCAATTCAGCTGCTACATGCCTTGTGCCTATGTAACAGCAAACTAACTGACAATGAGTTGCCTCATTATTATTACAGTAAACTAACCTATGAAAATAACAGGTTTTCCCCAGTGTTGTGTTGGACAGACTGAATGACAGAGTAATGTATAGATGCTGAGGTCACGGACAGGTCAAACCTCAGTGTGATGAAAAAAAGCTTCATTATAGTTTTCAGTGGGCCAAAAAAGAACCAGTGTTTTTTTGATGAAAAACTGAGTCTGAAATTCCCACGGACAAGACTATAGAGCTTGTATATTCCATTCAGCAGGCGAGCTGCTCAGCACTCTGTTATTATGTCTGAGAGGAATAATGTGGCTTTGGGCAGAAATCTGCTGAAATGTAAAAACTCTGCTCTGACACAAACTCTGTGGTTTTATCTGCCTCTGCTGCTCCCCACTACAGTGCGTGTGCTGACATAGCATACTTCAGATCTGTGCGATCAATTTGAGCTGTTGCTTATACAGTCCAGAAACATTGTGACTCACCCAAATGGGTCGCCCACCACCAGAAATGCCACATCAGTGACATCTGCATCCTCCAGGATTTGATCAGCTCCTTGTTCAACTAGATCTCTGTCTGCCAGGATCAGCTGCTTCCCATAGTACTCCTCCTGAAGGAAAGGAATATACTGTTAGGATATTTTAACAAGAATACTCAGAGCAGACAGGTACTATTCAAGTAGATGTTCATTTTCTATTTAGTTCTCACTCTCCTGAGACCCTGCATTGAATAAGCAAAAGATGGATGGACTGGTAATTACAAAGTACTAATTGTAGCGTTCAGATCACTTTCTACAAGTCTCATTTACCCAATCACACAGGCGCACATTCATACTCAACTTTAGTCTATACCTAAATACTTTCTTTTAGTCATATGCACCCACTCACACTCCGATGATAATTGGAGGGCAACTCACTCTTTAGTATCATGCCCAAGAATACTTTGACATGTGGACTGGAGCAGCTGGGGATCAATTCAGTAACCTTCTGACTGCACCTTGGGCTGTGCTCTGATGGACATGTCGTTGTCAAATACAACTCCAAGATTCCTCACAGTGTTACTGGAGGCTAAGGTAATGCCATCAAGAGTAAGCATATGGTTACATATTTCGAAGATTTTAGGGCCACATACAATAACTTTATCTGAATTCAGAACAGGAAATTAGAGGTCTTCCAGGTCTTTATGTCTTGAAGACATTCCTGCAGCTTAACTAACTGGTGTGTGTTATCTGGCTTTAAGGACTGATAAAGTTGGGTGTCATCTGCATAGAGACATCAGCCCATACACCGTGCTGCCCTGGCAGCATGAGTGGGTGCTCAGGAACCTGAATGTGAGCTGGGAGCTGACGCTGCACACTCATGGGGGTCAGAAGGTCATGCTGGAGCAGAGCCGAGCCTACTTCTTAGAGTCCTCCGCGATCGTCCGCTGGAGCGCAGGGTGCTTCCCGTCCTACCATCGCATCAGCAGCACGGAGTCAGCCAAGAAGCTGGCCTGGCGCTCTAGGATTTTAAACCTATGATTTTAAACCTATATATGCACACTCATCCATAGAAGTTCATCGGCAAAGACAGACAGATCAGGCATCGGCATCTGGAGGGGTCGGAGTATTGTGGCCTTCATCATGAACAGCCTGCACTTCCACAGGCTGGTGGAGAAGATTCTGCTGGGATCTCCAGTCTGCCCATACTCCGGATCTTTGGACCCGCTTCCCCCCCTGGACGAATCAGACCCTGAATTTGGTCTCCACGACTACACTCTGCACTTTGTCCAGCATGCAGATCATGTGGGGACACTTTTGGCAGCTCTCCTGCAGCACAATTCAGCAGGGACTTTCTAAGTCAGCAGGACCGACATGTCCCAGCAAAAAAACCCCACAGTTTTCCAAATAATTTCTTAGATTAGAAAATGGTCTATAAATATTAATAACCAGTGGGTCTAAGTTATTATTCTTGAGAATCGGAGTAATTAAAGTATATTTAATAGAAACAATGAAAATGCTAGTCTGTAGAGAACTGCTTATAATACGTACTACATCATTTGTAAAACAGTGAGATACAGATTTGAACAATTTGTTGTGGATGGGATCAAGTAAAGAGATGCAAGATTTAACTGATGAATAATTTCTTCCAAATTGTTAGCATTTACAGGTGAGAATGAGGACATTGAGCTTGTGGTATTAATTTGATCAAAATGTGAGGAAGTCCTAGATAAATTAATATGACAGACATTAGACATCTCTAATCCTACACCTATTGTCGGAATAAAGCAAGAAATTACATTTATTTGTTGAAATTAATTCATTGAATTATCCAATTCAGGACCCAGGTCTGAATATGCAGTTTAAAAAAACCCGTCCTTTTGATTTACTATAATTACTCATTGTAAATCATATGATGTCTTCGAGTAACACGTACTGAAACCCAGTTCTTATGTAAAAAGTAACACATTTCTTCCTAGTTCTGAATCAGTCCTACAGCCAAAACAAGCAGCTCCTCTCCTGGGACGAGCTTTCATTACAGCCCTGGTCCAAATCCTCCGGGTCGTAATGCTCCGGACTCACCAGCGCCTCTTTGCCCACGGTGAGAATGGATGTGTAGGCCTCCAGGTAAACTCTGGAGCAGCTCTTCACCGCCTGTAAACCCTTCACTGTAATGTCTGTGGCGTCTCCGAGCCCCAGACCGATCAGATACAGCATCCTGCCGGTCCCGCCTTCCGTACAGGGTCAGTGTTACTGCCGCAGCACTTAACGGAGCTAAAACTTCTTAAAAAGAAGCACCCAGGCGTGAAACTTTCCCGTATTCACGTGGGGACTCGCTGCGCTACTTGGAATACGGCTTGTCGTGAACTGTTTACAGTTGCGACAGCTACAGCCGCGATACGGTTAAGTCTTCAGCCGACGGCAAGCCCTGATACATGGCTCGCATATGTTTACAACTTGATCTAGTTGCTTGTTAAGCGGGAGCTTTGAGATCAGTTCAGTAGTTTTTCTAGAGCTTGATTTACAAGTGGGTCTGCATGTGTCCATCATGGCAGCAGTCTTTCTGTTGGAAATAACCGTAAAACCTGTGTATGTCTTACTTCTGAATTACAAGCAGCTCAGTGAACTTCATTTTTGTGTCAGGAGAAGCAGAAATGGCTAAAAGTAGAAAGTATCAGTGTGACAATGAACTTCCTTCTTCAAGGAGACAGAGCAGCAGAGAGGCATGTAAGCATGTAAGACTTCAACTATGTTTCGTGGTCCCAACTGTGGATTATTCCGGTTGGCGGGGGGGCTTTTCAGATTTCCACAAATGACAGCTGCTCCATCCATCCAAAGTGGGATGGATGGCGTTGTTTTTGTTCCAGAAAAATCTCCTAATTATCTGTAAAAACTCACATCATTTTGTACACAGCAGTAGAGCATGCGGCATGTCTCTCCAGGTCCGACTGGGGAGGGGACCCGAGAGAAAACAGTCCAACATAGCAGTTTTCTAATCTCCCTGCGCACCCAAAGCACCTCATTCCCACGAGCAACTTTTTCTATTCAAGTTCTTTTTATACAACACTCACATCCATACTCTGATGAATACATCAGAGAACAACTTGTGGTTGGTGTCTTGTCCACAAACATTTTGCATGCAGACTGGAAGCAGCCAGAGATCAAACCATCGACCTTCCAATTAGTTCCAATTATTATTATTAGATGAGCTGTTTTACCTCCTTCTCTACCTCCCAAGCAACTCCTAAGTAGCTTGGGGTGAGTGCAGCTCAGGTGGAGTGCAGGATTTCTCCAGTGGAGAGCTACATTATAACAAACTGGAATCTGTTTGGAACGGCTGACCTCTAAGTTTTAGTAAAAGAACACAAAACATTATTTATCATTAGATCACAAGCTGTCTGAATTACGACATTAATGTCCCATGTCGCTTAAAAAAAAGAAGTTTTATAGCATACCTGTCGTTGTACATGTACAGTGACAATAAAGGGCTATTCTATTCTAAGTTTGAAAAAAAAAGTTGACCAATTCTTCCAAGAAGCCATGTCTCAGTCCAGGAGGATGATTAGTGAGGACAAATACAGGCAGAAATACAGAGTTATTACTAAACTTTTTTTTAAAAAAAAAAATATAGAACAGTAATCCCACCACCCCTCCGAGATGACAAAGGAGAGTAACAAAGAGTTGTATCACAGACAAATTAGTTGTATTTCACTAAAATCTGGAGGATTTCTGCAAACTGTGAGGGATGGGTGGACAACAGATGACTAGCTACTGAAAAATGCATCTGTCCTTCAGTTGAATGAACTAAAAATAAGATACAAACCTTTATTAGTCCCACACATGGGAAATATTTTGATATTATGGTAACAGCAAGATCCTTTTTGGGCTTTCCACTCAGCAGACATACTATTTAAATGAACTTTAATGGTCACATAAAAACTGCATGCATATCTGATTAAAGCCAAACAAACATACAAAAAAATTGCAATAAAACAGAAAGCATTCAGAAAGTCTATGAACTTTATCCTAAAATAAGTCTGTCACAGTTGAGAGGCAAGAGAAGAGAGACTATGAATAGCAAACAGAATAAAACAGACTACAGAAAATTAAACAGAACTGAATTTCATTTCATTTCCCCTTTCCATCCACAGAGTAGCTACAACCAGGGGTGGGCAATCTCAGTGCACGAGGGCCGGTGTCCCTGCAGGTTTTAGATGTGTCCTCGAACCAACACAGCTGTTTTAAATGGCTAAATTAGCTCCTCAACATGTCCTGAAGTTCTCCAGAGGCCTGGTAACAAACTAATCATGTGATTCAGGTGTGTTGACCCAGGGTGAGATCTAAAACCTGCAGGGACACCGGCCCTCGTGGACTGAGATTGCCCACCCCTGCTCTACACTGTGGTGCACAGAAAGGACGTTCAGGTGTCTTTAGAGTTTTAATAGTGTAGTTTTCATGAAGTGGACAAACAGATGGACAGATGTGAAACTGTTTCGGCCCCCACTCCCATTCCTTCACCCTCCCACCCCTTGCTGCTTTTGCTTCAGCAATCGTTTCCATGGTGACGGCGGTCAGCAGCACAGCGACTGAAAGCATTTGAGTTGTGAATGAGTTGGTGGGAAAAGCTGCTTCGCCTCTTCTTTTTTAACTCCCTTTCTTACTTTTTTTCTTCACAGTCTGTTTCTCCCTCGTTCAACCCTTGTTTTGGTAAACAAGCCCCTGCACCACGTGATCCTTCCCATCCCCTTCACTCTTTTAACTGGGAACCAGTTAATGAGTGAGATGGTTGGTGGGTTACATAATGGGATCCTTTTTTTTTTCTGCGATGGGGTGAAGAGGAGGGTGGTTGGAGAGGCAGATTGTGGTCTTTTGTTGCTGTGTTTTAGGGTTTGTTGGAGTCCAGTCATCCAGAGAATTGACACTCTGTCTCTGTTAACTGTTTCTCTTCAGGTTCAAATCCTGACAAACTCTGATCTGGATCTGCCCCTCAAAGGAAAAGGAAAAGGCAAAGCAAACAAATTTACAGTTACAAACAATTAAAATAATTTCCAGCCCTGTGATTCATAATTCAATTTAGCAGATTTCATTCATCATGTCCTTCTTTTAAGATCAAAGTAGATTTTATGAGTCAGTAGCTCAGGTGTTTTTGCCCCATTCGATTTGAATTTGTGCAGTTTATGAAAAAATCTGAAAAACATCAAACTATGTCCTGTGGTACATTAACAACAGGACCATGAAGGGAACTCCCTGCTTCCTTGGGTTCGCTAACTTTTACAGACACTTCATCAGAAACTACAGTCAAGTTGCTGCTCCCTTCAATCGTCTCACCTCCTCTACCACTCACCTGGCCCTGGGAGGCCCACACTGTCTTCACTAAATGAAAGCAGCTATTTGCCTCTGCCCCCATTCTAATTCACCCAGGTACTAATAAGCAGTTCATCGTGGACGTCGATGCATCAGACGTAGCAGTAGGGGCAGTGCTATCCCACAGATACAAACCTCAAGGTAAACGCCAGCTCTATTTATGTCACCTCACCCCCACCAAGCAAAACTATAACGTGGGGGATAGAGACCTTCTGGAAATTATAAATTAACCCTGGAATAATGGCATCCCTGGCTGGAGGGAGCCATACAGCCGTTTCTCATATGGACAGATTAAAAAAATCAAACTTATGGTAAATGGCCTGTATTTGTATAGCGTTTTACTAGTCCCTAAGGATCCCAAAGCGTTTTACACACTCAGTCATCCACCCATTCACACACTGGTGATGGCAAGCTACTTTGTAGCCACAGCCACCCTGGGGCGCACTGACAGAGGCAAAGCTGCCGGACACTGGCGCCACTGGGTCCCCACCAGTAGGCAAAGGGTCTTGCCCAAGGACACAACGACCGAGACTGTCGGAGCCAGGGCTCGAACCGGCAACCTTCCGATTACAAGACGAACTGCCAACTCCTGAGCCACGATCGCCCATATCTCCGAAAAGCTAAAGGACTTAATTTCCAGCAAGCTCGCTGGTCTCTGTTTTTCATCCAAGTTAATCTCTCTCTCTCCTACCACCCAGGCTCTCAGAATACCAAGCCAGAAGCACTTTCCCGCCAGTATTCCTCAGATAATGAACAATCCTTCCCAGCTCCCATTCTACCTGCCACCTGCAGGGTGGGTGCTCTCACCTGGGATATTGAAAACTTTTATCAGCGTATGTGGCCTATATCAGAAATATTTCTTAGTATTCCTGTGTTTTTGTATTTGAGTAATTAGCTTTTTTTGTTACCTTGCATTTAGGTTTCTGTTTGTGTACTAAATGTCTTCATGTTTTCTTGTTTATTTTCTCTCTTGACTCTGCTTCTAGTGTTTGTTAGTTATTTAGATTGTAATGTACATGGCTCAATTATTTGTTGAAAAACAATTAAAAAATAAGAGATATGGATTAAGAAAGAACGAGGGCCCAGAGAGTCTGTTTATAATAGGGCATAGAGCTCTGCACTGCTCAAAGTATTAAAACGTTTGCAAAATGATCCATAAAGTCCAATTTTTTTCTTCCAATTTTTAAATTGGCTGACAAATAAGAAGTAATCTGAATTTTTTTTAATGTCTTGGTCTGAAGATTTTCTGCAAGTTCTCGTTAACATTGGGAAAACTTGTGGCCTGTGCAAAATATTTTAACCTTTTTTCATAAAACTCATTATGAAGATGGAGCATTTAAGTTTTACTAATAATACTTTAGACCTATATTAGTATAATATTTATCTTAGTCTTAGATCATGAGCTTAGTTGCAATTCTAAAAATGTAAGTGACAGTTGTGCTCTATGTTTGTAAAGTTCTCACAGCTTCAGAAACTACCAGCGATGCAATCTGATGTCAGACTGTCTCTGTTTGACAGAAACAGGCTCAAACAGATAAAGACTTAAGGCAGGATTAAAGCTGTTTAATGTTTGGTGAAGGTCAATCATACCTTAGATCATTTCACTGTGTCAAGAACCACAAGTGCAGACTCCTGAGGCAAAGAGAATAAACTGAAGATGTACCGTTATTATGAAGATGAAGATTCAAAACAAAGTTATTAACGCCATAGAAAGACTAAGGTGAAGGAAGGGAACCTGCAAACCTAACTGTGACTAGAAAAAGAGACATATCCCCTATAATGACATCTTTTCATTGGCTCCTTGTTAAATCCAGAATTAAATTTAAATAACTTTTCTGCACAAATAAAATCTTGAATGGGCACCATCAAATCTTAAAGGTCTCATACTACATTATCATACTAACAGAGCACTGCAAGCAAAGTGGGCCTTGCTTTTTAGCCATTTTAACTTTGTTATAACCTAACCTACCTATTGCTACAATATTACAAGTGG